AAATCTCGATATGGCAGGACGGTAAGGGACAAGCAATCATTCATTCTCACGGGTTCTGTTATCTCTCTTCTAGTTCCATCCTTGGCTAGTAGATAAGCATCTAAAGGGTTCACCAAGTCACTACTAGATCCTTGAGCACTGCCTTCACCATGTTCATTAGAATCGGACACATTACCACTTGCTTTACCATTTTCATTTTCACCCTAGCCCTCATTAAAGAGTTCAACAGAGGACTCTTGCTCTACATGCAATCTGCTCCTTTCTTCCTTTTTCACTTTCATGGACTTCACTAGAGATCAAAGCATCTCAGTTTCATTAAAGATTACATTTCTATTGATTATCATCTTAAAACCCTTATTGTCTTTCACCCAAAGCTTATACACTTTCACTCTTTTTGGGTATCTCATGAAAACACATTTCTAGTATCTAAGCTCCAATTTTCCCACACTTTGGTGGGAATAAGTTGCACAACCAAATATTTTCAAAGGGGTATAATCAGCCAGTTTACTTGTCGACACCTCCTCAGGTGTTTTTCCATATATGGAAATAATTGGTGTTCTATTTATGATATATGCAACTGTCATTATTGTCTCACCCCACTAAATTTTAGGAACACCTGAGCTAAACATCATGCATCTCACATTGTCTAAAATTGTCATATTTATTCTCTCAGTTACACCATTCTGTTGTGGGGTATATGGAACAAGGCCTAAATATAATTGGGGTTAAAGACTATCAATCTCCATACAAATCAATCCAGTGGAGGTTGAAGATAAGGCATACAAATAATTGGGTTGAAAGCTATCAATTTCTGCACAAAAAATAATAAAAATTGCAATTCAAATCACATAACTTTTTAAAAAGTTGTATCAATTAAAACAATGAAATACATATTAACAACTAGAAAAAATTTTAAAAAAAGTTTTATACTTTAAAATCTCATCATCTTCACACAGTTTGTCAAAATCATCATTATAAAATTCTAGACCATTGTCTGTTATTAGAATTTTAATCTTTTTATCCATTTGATTTTCAATTAAAGTTTTTCGAACTTTAAACTTTTAAAAAATGTCCGATTTTTGTTTCTTTTGAAATACCCATACTTTTCTTGAAAAATTATCAATTAGGGATAAAAAATATTTATTTCCACTATGAAAGGTGGTGGATGATGGGTCCCATAAGTCAGAATGTATGTACTCAAGGATTGATGCAATATTGTGCTTTTCAGTGTTAAAATAAAGCCATACTGTTTGCCTAAGGTACGATACTCACAAGAAGGGACTCGATAAATAATGTCTCTACCAAAGGCTACAGTTTTACTTAAAATGTGCAAATCTTTTTCACTAACACGGACTAGTCTATTATGCTATTTCAGGGTTGCATCACTCTTAGCATTAGAGGATTCTACAGTGTGACTTATAACACTGGCTCTAGTGACATATATCCCATTTACCTCTAAAAATAACTAATGAACCCTTAAATATTTTCAAGTGGCCATCTCCAAACCTGCCTTGCAGGCCTATGTCATTTAGATTGTCCATTGAAATTAAATTTCTATTCAAGTCAGGAACATACTTCACTTTTCCAAGGTAAAAGTGTATCCATTTTCAAATTTCAAAATCACACTATCTATCCCATTAACGCTGCAAGTAGCATTATTGTCCCTAACTACCTCCCCTCTATCAAGATCC